CCTGGGCAGCTCGATCTCAATATCTTCACCAGGAGATTCAATATGGTCAGCTGTTCACTACGAACGAGAATTCTTCGTTCCCTTCTCCTTACCACAGCGACAACATTGTGAACCGATTGTCGCCAGATAAGATTCCCGTTAACTGCAAGGAGTACCTACTGAAGCAGGCAGTCAAATTTGCATCTGTATGTAGGTTACCGCAGAGCGCTGAGACGGTAACTCGAAACTCGATATTCACTAAGTTGAAAAACAACTGTAGCTCAATATTGTCAATATGTAATATTATTAGCATTGTTCACACTTCAGAAGTATCACCTACAGCGAGGCGAACAAGTACTTAGGGCATCGGCTGGAAAAAAGGGGACCAACAGGAAATTGCTAAGCTTTGATGGAAAGAGCGCAAGTAGCGACCGTCTTGACGCTTACTCTTCATTCCTGGTGAGCGCACGAAAAACGCTTCGAAACCTGAAAGGAACTATCTTGATATCGCTTCGAACCTCACACGAGCATTACTGTCCTGTGTGTCGCATTTTTGCTTCAGAAACGGACTGAATAATGGCGATACCATCGTTACATTAAAGACTCAAACCATGCGCGTGCTTACGGTTAGTGATTTTATCACGACCTCATTTTGAAGGATCGTAAACGGTACTATTTGGAATTAATCGTCTCAAAGACTTCGAGAATAACCATTAACTTCTGAGCACACAGTGTGACCAATTGCTCAGTGTTTTCAGTGCGGATGCAATTTCATGATACATATTCCGGGCTTTGGGAACAGTTTTGAGGAACTCGCTGTCAAAAATGGTCCGTAAGTTATGAGTCAAAGCCTATTTGGATGTTCTTACACATCCTTGGATTACATAGACTTTAAAGCTTGGGGTAGCCTCAAAATCGGTGTTGGCAAGCCTAACAGATGATGGTGAATCCGTTCACCTCAATCATTGGTATATCTGATCTTGATCGGTCTGCAGCCGCTTTGAAAACGTTCAAGTTGCAATACTTTCGTCCATCACAAGCGTCAATCAAGTGAGTGACCGGATAAAGTGTTACATTCCCGTCGTTTTGATGATATCTCATCTGGAAAACAATCAGTTACATGTGAATGCTAAAAGATAGTTGATGACTGCTCATTAGGAATCATGAATGAAAAACAAAGGCATACTGCTAAACTGAACCCACCAACCTTGAAATAAGGTTCATTGTCAGTGCGGTTCAACCATAACTCAACGAATGCTCCAGCCGAGTAATCTGGATATCCGCACGTGCTGATCACTTTAGTGTGGATGCCGAATATGGAGAAAAACGCATAGACTGTAGTATCATGCTAAATAATATTCTTTTCTTGAATCTCCAGTAAAAAACATCGCAAGCATAGTTGTATGTTACATTTTAGCTTGGTGGGAAAGTAATCGGATTGAACAATACCCTCTGTGTGTAATGGAATGTACTCGACTTCAAAGTTATATCGTTTTCAGTACATACTACACAAATGTATCAAATATTTTCACAGGAGTTTTTTGTATTTGCATTTCTCACATATGTATTTTCAAGATTACAGTCAGTTCTTGGTTTGAATAGAAGTATTCCAGTCGAGGATCATGATGAGAGAGACTTCTGAACACTCTTTTCTATGATTTCAGTTATGGCCTTACAGCGACAAAAGTAAGTGATAATATCAACAATGCATTTGATGTGAGCAATGTTCCCATTTTGTGGCTGTTATGTCGCGAAAAGTAGTGAATGATACTGTTAGAAGACCCTGAAGAGGATATTTACTTTCGCATTCAGAACAACAAATTTTTTTTTTAAATTGCATTCATGGCATCGGGATGTGTTG